CTCCCTGAGGAAACAAGTCTTGACTTGACCTGGAGAACACACAGTTCTTAATGAAATCATGGGAGAGGGCAGTAGAGTGTTTGGTGTGTTTCTTTTTTCTTCCTCTCTGTTCCTTTCTTCCACAACTCTTCCTTCCCCAGCTCTTCCTCTTAGGATGTCTCCTGGAACCTGGGGTGTAGTGGCGAGGGCTGGATATGTCCTCCTTCACTTTGCTCTTTCTCCCTGCTCCCAGTGGCCTTACATGGGGAGATGGTAGTCAGTAGTTTTCACTCCGCTTGTTGGTACTTTAACAACAACTGGTTGAGGAGAAAAGGAACAACAAGCAGTAGTTCTTTTGGCATCGAAGTGCTAAGATTGGCTGTGTTTCATTTCTCCACTGCCAGGGACCTCCAGGCTTATGCTGGGGTCCCCTTTTGTCTCTAGCATAGCCCCCACCGTAAGGGGACCGAGGCCTTGTTTCTATACCAGCAGCAAGTGAAGAGCCAAGGGATTTCCCAGATGATGGCCAAAATAGAACCGACCAGATTCTTCACACTGGTGTCCCATGACTCAGAGCAAACAGCCACTCCCTCCAGGAGGCTGCCTGTGGTGGGAGGTGGGGCACGAACCAACCCAAGGGCTAGCTAGATTCCATTGAGGGGGGATGGATAGCTGCTGCAATAGCAAATCCAAAGTGAACAAGGTTAAAATGTCCACAACTATTACTAGGCAGGACCCTGGGTATTTCTGCCTGTGAGAGCTGCAGTTGAACCTATATCCTAGTCAGAAGTAAACGCAGAAGTTAATCAGCAGAAGTAGTAACCTGAGAAAAAAATGACTTGAATTGTATGTTCCATTTTAGTTTATTGTTGATAGTAAATGCCATTTTAATCTCGAGTGCCCCAAAATGTTCTTTCTCTTTTAAAGGCAGCTTCAGGAAAGGATGAGCTAGAGCTGAGTTTTTGTTTCATTTTGCTTTTTACTTTTTCTTTGTTCGCTCATTTGTTTTTTGGCTGGTTGCGTTTGGAGAATCCTTGCATCAGGACCTGTCTATGGAGGGGCTCTTGTCAATGCATTTTGCGGTTTTTTAACAGGATATGTTAGCATCCTGGGTTTGGGAAGATACAGATCCTGCTGGTGTTCCCTAGGGCCAGATGTCATCACTGTAGCCAGACTCAGTGCTGAATTGTTTAGCGTGGGGGACATCACATGCTTCCCACACTGCCCACCCCCCAAACCTCCCCCAACCAGTTGGTGGAGGTTCAGGTGCTCCTGAAGGAAGACCTTTTGTTGAAAGAGTTGAGCTCAGTCATACATGGATCTCAAGAAGGGAGATTGGGCTTTTGCCGACTCCTTGTTAGCTCGTAGTAAGCACAGATTTGGTTAAAAACAGATTCGCTTAAGAACAGAAAAGATGGTTCAGTGACTTCCTCTGGCGGGCCTCCCCTTCCCTCTCCCACTTTAGGCAACCCAGTTGCCCTGAGCCAATTCTAGTACTTAAGGTATTACTGTATTAGATGTATATTGAGCTTCGGTGACTCAGCAGTCATGATTTTAGCAAATGGACCTACAGGAAGCAGCAGAATGCAGGAGAGTCTTTCTGAGTAGGCTGAGGCCCAGGGAACCAACCTTGGAACTGCCCCTTTGCAGAGGCCTGCCAACATCGAGGGGATTAATCACCAGGATGTAGGGATGTGTTTTTAATCCTCATGAGCTCCTCATGACATATAACCTTCTTTTTTTTTTTTTTTTGCCATCTTTGAGGGTTTGGCCAAGTTTTTCTTGGTGCCTCTCACCCTAAGGTTGCCCTCCAGAAGAGGCACCTCCCGAGTGGCTGGATTTGCTCTGCTTGCCATCATACTGCTGCATGTAGGATGGGCTGATGAGGACATGTGTAAGGCCTCGGTGCCCATCGCCCTCTTCACAAAAGGAAGGGTTGGAAAGAGGTCATCAGTGAAGTCCCTGGGGGCCTGTCCTATCCCCTACCACAACACAGAGTCCTTGTAGACAGATGATCCGTGCCTCAGCTGGGGGCCAACAGCCTGGGTGGGGAAGATGCTCAGCTTTAGAATGTCACAATGGCATAGCGACTCTACAGGTGCTCTCTTTTTCCCTGTCTGTGTGGCATGGCACCAGTTGCCAGTTGGACTGAGCCTTCCCTGCATTGGCATGCCTCTGAAAGCTTGTGTTTGCCCTGGCTACAGCTCAGTGCCCCATTCTGGCTGGCATTTTCTGCTGCTTGGAAGGAAGAAGAAAGGGAAAACCATGTGCCTAGCCAGGCCAGGCCAGAGACAGATATACCTGTCAGAGGGAAGGGTAAGTGAAGGGGACATCCAGGGGTTCTGGGGGCCAGGTTGGCTCAGAAACATGTAAGTAGAAAGAACAGAGAGTGAGCTTAATCCAGAGGCTCCACAGGGGTCATGGCCTATATTTGGGTGTTAGGGAGCAGTGTGCATGTGAATTGGTCTGTCTGTACCTCACTCTTACCTTGGGACAAACCCATGCAGAAAGGTAGCCTGGCTAGCACCACGGCAGTCTTCCTTGGAGGGTGACACCCACACCAGCAGGCCCGGGCTTCCCAGCTCCTCCTGAGGGCTTTCCTTGGCCAAGTTTCCATATGCCATTCGCCAGAGTGTGGGTGCTTAGTGTGTGTCTGAGAGTGTAGAAGTGGACAGTTTATTCGGAAATAGCCTCAGGAAGGGAAAGGAGTGCTCCCTCAAGCCTCCAGGTAGCCTTGGTCAAAAATCTGGGCCAACGAGAACAGTCTGTTCAGCTACCCAACTTGCGGCATCAGCTCAGAATAGCAGAAAGAAGGTCACGCCTGCTCGCAGTCTCAGTATTTGCTTTCGTACACCAAAGATGATCTGGCCCATCTTCTTCCCAGAGACCCAGTGATGTGTACCTCTGTCAGCTTGTGAGGAAGGCACAAACTCTGTCTCCCCAAGTCAGTATTCTCTCTTTCTCCTTAGACTTCTAAGCATTCACAGAAGCTGCTTGCAAGGTGGTCAGGATAAGTGTGTGTGTGTGTGTGGGGGGTGTCAGTGCACTTTACCGTCCAGTACCTCAAGTCTAGCTATCAGATCATCCCTTTTGCTACAGCCTCGGCCAGGGCTTTACTATTTGTGCTTGTTGATAATTCAGTGTTTTGGGGAGCAGACACAGCTCCCCACAGATAACAAGTTGTCAGCAGGTCTCCGTACACTGGCTTTGGGGCTGGGCGGCACCTTGGGAGTGAGCTCGGTGGCTCAGAGGGTGGCAGCAGGACCTTCCTCCCGCTGCCTCAGCCAAACAGATTTCCCTGGATCTATAGATGTCGGTCCAGAGTCATCTGTCCTCTTTGGAAGACTGAAGGGGAGGTGTGGGAAGAGAAAAGAAGGAATGACACTGCAGGACAAGATGCACATGCAGTGTTGGTTTTGATAAATCCACACCAGTCATAAGGGGACAGTTCCCACAGTCCCTCGAGTGCTCCTTGGCAAGGCCCCGGACTGAGAAGGGGCCTCCCTGTGGCATGCCTGGCTCTGCCCTGCCCTCTGGGAGGTGGGTAGAATTTATGATAGGGACTGAGCCTTCCTCTTTGGTATATAGATTGAGCCAATTCGTGCTCAGGAAAACATAGTAGTTTGTTGTTGCTCTTATCTGTGACATTTTTGTATAGTGGTTTGCTACTCGGCGGCATGAGACAATAGTCATTTCGAGCAAAGCCGTTGTTTTGGAAACTTTCTTTCGGTGTCAATTTTGTATTATATTTTAAAGAAGTCTTCATTTATGTTGATGTCATTGCAGTCAAGAGAATAAGATAGTCCGATATGTGATTATTTCTGCCAGGAAATTGGCAAATGCCTCTGTCCCTCTTAGCACCCCTCCCTGTCTTTCCTCATTCCCAAGGCGGGATTGCTATGCACTGGGCAGACCCATCCCTTTCACCCCTTCCCTCCAGTGGCTCCCTTTAGGACCGGGCTTTGTAATCCCCCTAAACAGCAACAGGGAGAATATTTTTGCTAAGCTGGTTCTTGGGTGCTCTGTGCCCCACCGGGTCTGCTCACCTCTTGGAGCATTTTGTAATGTGTTTCTCCTGTTTTCTAAAACCTTTTGTTTGTACCAGAATGGTTTCTCAGTCATCTCTGGAAATAAATGGTCATTAATTTGTATACTTAGCATTCTGAATTTTAGTCTTAGGTGTTTCTGTTGAAGATCCCTGAATGAAAAGGAACCCTCACCATGGGTCTTACTATTACAATGTTTTCTTCATTTACTGTTATTAAAAGATTTATGAGAACCCAGGAGTCCTGGCCCTTGTTTCCCAGAACTCTCTATTTGAAAAATAGACAAAAGGGGCCATTGGTCTCCCATGCCCCGGAGGGGCCCACCAAAGGGCAGCTGGTGCTCTCAGCACAGCTTCGTCATGTGGCTGGAAGTGTGTCTTGAATTCCCATGTGCTGCCTGCTTCCTCCAGGGATGCCAGGGATCCAGCGGGCCTTTTGCTCTTAGCAGGGATTGTCTGCTGGGGACCTGTGCTGGGCTTGTTGGGCCCACGGTACACGAGGCCAGGCCGGATGACTGAGCTAGAGAAGGCAACTTTGAAACCAAATGTGTTCAGGCCCACTCATCCCAAGCTCCCTAAGGAGTGGCTCTGTGCCAGAAGTGTTCAACACGCCTGTGTCCAGCACAGGTCAGATTGTCCTATGGGGAGCAGTGAACAAGATAACCCTGTACTTTGGGAATAGTCAGGCATGTTTTTCCAAGGCTACCCACTGAGCAGCCCATGGCGACTGTGATTAGCCCAGCCTGTGTTTCTAGCAGACAGAGGCCCTCCTTGGT